TAGATAGATAGATAGATAGATAGATAGATAGATAGATAGATAGATAGATAGATAGATAGATAGATAGATAGATAGATCGATCGATCGATCGTGTCTTAGGGGTCTACTGTCTAGGAAGGATTGGAAGGATTCCCAAGCAGCTGGTTGGTGGAGCCGAAACAGCTAATGGTCAGTGGGTAGCTCAGCCATAGCTAAATAATATTTATTTGCATAAACAGAACTCAACTAAAAAAGAGAAAATTATCCCTTTTGAACGACAGCCTGTGTACAAAAAAACAAACAAAAAAAAATCACCAATGTTTCTATTTGTTTATTTGAGGCCTATGTTATTAATGGAGTCCATGTTTCTCAGTGGAAATTTTAACTTAAGCTCATTAAGTATTTAAATTTTCAAATTAAACTCCTCATTTTATAAGGAAAGTATTTGTCCTACATGAGTTTAGGTTTTGTTACTTACAGAGGACAGGCTGAGAACAGGTGGAGGTGTGCAGGGTGAGGCACATTCTTTCTTTCTATGGTCTGCATATCTGCATTTAACCTCATCTTCATCAGGGTCAAAGGCCAAGAGATTAATATTTCTCTGACAGTTTGAAGGAACCCTAAGTGAAAAAAATATATACATCTAAATCCATCACTTTTCATCGGGGGTAATGTGAAGGAAGAGTCAGACACATGGTTTAGTTTGGTCTGATTCTTGCTGTTCCACCTTTTAAGCCATTAATTTAATTTTAAATAAATAATAACTATTTAGAACATTTAAATTAAAGCATAAAACGTACATAAAGTTTCAAAAAACAGCAACATAATTCAATGAAAATAAATGTATTACAAACAATCCTTTTAAAGAAAAGTGTGTATTCAAGTGTTAATGATCAACATGTACAACTATGATGTGGAGAATCATTTAAAGCTTTTAAACAATCTAAATACTATGCCAAAGAACAGTACATATCCAACAGGGTATATTAGCTGCAACAGTGCATCTTACAACTAAATTATATTATTGGAATCCACACATAACTAAGGGATTATTCATTTTATGTTGATACAATTATTTTTAGACACTATTTCTGTTGTGTAATTTTAACTCACAATAGTGTTTTTTCTTTGCATGTGTGTGTGTGTGTGTGTGTATACCTGTCTAGCCATTACAGTGAGGACCATTTTTCCAATTTCTTTATCAAATTGAGGACCAGTTGTTGCAAAGTGAGGACATTCTGCATGTCATCACATGCTATTTTGCTAATGGTTAGGTTTAGGGCTAAAGTGTCAATTGGTTAAGGGTTATGGGTGAGGTATGCATTGGTAATGGCAAGGGTTTAGGGTTAGTTTAGGCTTAGGGCTTAGAAAGGGTTGAAAATGACTGGAAATCAATGGAAGTCAATGGAAGTCAACACATGGTCCTCACTACATATAGAAGACTGTGTAAGTTTGTGTGTGTGTGTGTGTGTGTGTGTGTGTGTGTGTGTGTGTGTGTGTGTGTGTGTGTGTGTGTGTGTGTGTGGGTGAGTGTCTGTAATTAACTGAGCCACATATAATTTTCAATACTGTTAATTTGCATATTTTATTTTTACAATATATTCTATTCTAATTCTCATGACAATCCTTTTCTTTATGTTTGCATATATGAGCTTTATGCACATAAGCTTGTGAGAATCCATCTGATAGGTTTTGGTCGCAATTTAATATTCTTTGATTGTGTTTTACTGCTACATTTTAAAACTGAATTTTGATGCATCCCTTTTTACTGGACTATTTTGATTACACCTGAAACAAGTTTTGAATATGAATAAGAGGTCAGAAATTTATTCCAGAACTAAGGCAGTCACGATTTAATGACACCTTCCATAACATCCTGAAAGTATTCATTCTGTCCTCATAGAAGCAGGCTTTTTTATGCACATAATCAGCACTGTTTAATTGAAAAGATACATCAGC